AAAAGAAAACAGGGTGGGTTAATGTTCTGTCTTTTTTTATGCCTAAAAAGCTGTATTTTAGAAGCCCAAAGTTTAGCTGCGGGATGTCAGATTTCTCTACTTAAATTAAATAATGCCGGGTTTTAGTCCCTTAATTGAGCCCAAACAACATAGATTCTGCACAGGTGATGATTCTATTAAAAAACATTAGTGCACCTGACACATAGACCCTAAGAGCTATCAATAGAAAGTCCATGCTCAGAGATGGCATTTTATTAAATTTATTTATATATAACATTGCCTTGTTATACTTCTTTTACCCACACGAGGTCCTCACTGTACTTTACAGAACCACCAATCAAGGAAGCAGTTGGCCCACTAAGGAGAGAAGACTACAAGGAAGTAACAGGCAACAGAGAGAAAGCAGAGCTGCTTAAACAGAGGTGGTATTCAGCAGGTTCTGACCAGTTCTGGAGAACCTGTAGTGGAAATTTTGAGTAGTTTAGAGCAGTGGTCCCCAACCTTTTTTGTGCCAGGGACCAGTTTCAAGCACAAACACTTTTTCGAGGACGGGGTGGGGGGGGGTGAATCCGAGTTTGGTAGTTTGCTTGCAGACGTTTCATTACCTGACTAGGTAACATCTGATGTTGTTACCTAGTCGGGTAATAAAACGTCTGCCAGCAAACCACCAAGTTCAGGGAGCGCCTCGGCCCTGCCTCCCTCAGCCCCATCCCTCAGGTGTCTCCCTCCCTCCCTCAGGTGTCTGCCTCGTTCCTCTCTCAGTCGCTCTCTCACTGCTCCACCAGCCCTGGAAGAAACTGCTTCAAAGAAGCCGGGGGGTGGCTTTTCCTGTCGTCGCAGCTCCTCCGAAGTGCCCGTTTACGCCCACCCCGCCCGCCCGTGCGCGGTTCAATCCACAGTGCTCCGTTCTGCCTGCCTGCCTGCCTTCTTCGTTTCGGAGCAGCTTCGGCTGATAAAAAGAGGCGAATAGTTATTATTCTCAGCCGAGGCTGCTCCGAAACGAAGAAGGCAGGCAGGCAGGCAGAACAGAGCACTGTGGATTGAACCGCGTGCGGGCGGGCGGGGTGGGGGTAAAAACGGGTGCTTCGGAGGAGCTGCAGCAACAGGAAAAGCCACCACCACCCTGCTTCTTTGAAGCAGTTTCTTCCTGGGCTGGTGGAGCAGCGAGAGAGCGACTGAGAGAGGAACGAGGCGGGAGGAAACCGAAGCCGCTGAGCCAGAGAGCAGGACAGGCTTTGGTTGCTTCCTCCCTCCCCTTCTTTCATTTGTGTCCTTGATCCCCGATCCCAGCAGCATTCACCGAAGGCGAAGAAAGCCGCCATTTTTTTAAAAAAAAATTCTTTGCGGCCTGGTACAGAGTGCTCCACGGACCGGTACCGGTCCACGGCCCGGTGGTTGAGGACCCCTGGTTTAGAGAATTGGCAAATACCACCTCTGACTAGCCCCTATTCTCTGAATCAATTCTCTGCTTCCCAAGTCCCAGCTGATTGGCTGAGTCTTCTTTTGTTGCCCTGCACAGGAGAACGGAGCTGGAAATCAGGTTAGTGGGGTGGGGAGGGAATGGGATTTTGCAGTAACCTTCCCCCAGAAGTGGGGAGGGAATGGGGATTTTGCAGTATCTTTCCCCTGCTATGCCCACCAAGCCACGCCCACAGAACTGGTATAAAAAAATTGAATGCCACCACTGTGCTTAACTCATTCCTTGTTTCAGTCTTTACACAAAAACAAACTATAGCTCAACTGATCAAAAACATACCTGTAATAGACAGACCAGAAATAAAAGTTAAAATAAGCACACAAAAAAAAACATATTCTAGACCAAGACATGTCTATTTGAGTAGAATGTATATTGATTTTTCTCAGTGTGTCTAGAATAGACATGATTTGGACATCACCAGAATTAATATCTAATATAAAAGAAATGCAGATCAAAACAAGTACCTGGGCAGACCACAACCTTATACACGTTATATGGAGGGGACAAAAAAAAAGAAGCCAAGATGGACTGTGAATGCATTAATACTGAAAGAAAAGGAATTTATTCAATTTATTCAAAAAAATGGATTTTTTTCTTTAAAGAGAATAGAAAAGAAGAAACTTCATGGCAAAATGTTTGGGATACTACAAAGGCATATATTAGAGGACTAATTATAACAAGAAAGAAGCATAGAAGCTAAAAGATGTTGGACAAAAATACACATATGGTTGGAAAAGATGATACAGCAACATATTGATTTAAAATGGGAAATATTTTTGTTGGGGATTATACCTGAAATATATAATAAAGAAAAGCTATACTTAATCATTCATGTATTGATTGGAGCTAGAATTGTATTTGCACAAAATTGGAAAAGTGAAAAGATTCCAACAGATGAGAATGTGATCAGGAAAATATTAGAATGTGCAGAAATGTACAGGCTAACACTTGCAATAAGGAAAAGGAACAAACTGAATATTATTTAGTATGGGAATTGTTTTATCAATGGCTGGAGAATAAAAATGGAAATTAGAAAATTTAAGATCAGTGAAAAATAGTAAACGTGAATCAGAATTAAATATGCCAAGTATTGTTATCATAATTAGATACATTATGTGTAGTAGTATGAAGTAAGAATAGAATAATGATATACCGTGTTTCTCACAAAATAAGGCCGGGCCTTTCTCTTTTTTTTTTGAGCCCCCCAAAAACGGCTAGGATGTCTTTTCGGGGGTGAATTAATTTCTTCCCCCCTGTGCACCAACGCCGTCTCCAACAACAGCGTCCGAGTCGCTCCTGCTTTTCTCCCATCACCGTAACAACAGGAAAAAAAGATTTTGAGGTACCTGAGAGCGCCGTGCACTGCGTTTTGGTTTAATCCCGAACGGCTGGGTGGGCAAGAGAAGTTCAGGTGGATACCAAGATTAAGCGATGCTGAAAATTGTCAGCTTGCACCATGCATTCCCAACTTGTTGATGATCCAAATTCCATCTAGGACCTTGGAATACTCATCTCTAATTATCTAAGTGCTAAAGCACACTGTAACTACATAGCCAAAAAGGCATTAAGAATTGTTAACCTAATCCTATAAATAAATAGCTTTTTCTCCCATAATATCACACTACTAATTAGGGCATACAAAACATTTGCTAGACCAATACTCAAATACAGCTCATCAGTCTGGAACCCACATCACGTATCTGATATTAACACAGTTAGGAAAGTCGAGAAATATTTCACAAGAAGAGTTCACTCTTCTACTTGTTGCAGAATACCTTATGCCACCAGACTTGAAATTCTAGACCTTGAATTACGCCATCTTCGGTCCGATCTAAGTATAGTATATAAAATCATACATTGCAATGTCCTACTGGTCAATGAATACTTCAGTTTCAACCATAACAATACAAGAGCACACAATAGATACAAACTCAAGGTTAAATGTACCAAACTTGATTGCAGAAAATACGACTTCAGCAACAGAGTAGTCAATGTCTGGAATACTCTACCTGATTCTGTGGTTTCTTCCCCAAACCCCCAAAACTTTAACCTTAGACTGTCTACTATTGACCTCATCCCTTTCCTAAGAGGTCTGTAGGGGGCATGCCTACCATCCCTATCCTATTGTTTCTTTTATTTTTCTTATAAGTATTCATTTCATGTATTCATAACTATGTTTATCCTTATACTTATTATCTTGTAAGTGATTGACAAATCAAATAAACAAATAAACAAACAAACAAACAAACAAACAAACAAATAAATAAATAAATAAATAAATAAATAAATAAATAAATAAATAAA